TAGTGTTGTTTACGAGATAAATCCCGAAAAAGAAACTGCTCATTTGTCAGAACCGCCAATATCGGACCACTATGGCATATAGCTGCCATACATACGTACAAACTGAACGATCAAATTCAAGTCCCTATATAGAAAACTTTTTCTATAAGGTATTTTCACAAAATCTAACGAGTTTAACAATTTAACTTAAAAATTCCGTACCACTTCAACTTAAAGTAGTACAAGAGTATTACTATTATCGATTTGGCGCCAAAGACTTTTTTGTAGGAAATTAAATTTCCTAGAAGTTTGTTATTTACAATTTTTCTGTAGCTAGTGTTGTTTACGAGATAAATCCCGAAAAACGCGAATTTCATGGAAAAATTAGGTTTGGAGGCCCGTACTACCCCGCAGGTGCAAGTTATAACTTTACCGCAATAGAGACTTTTGTAGAGCGTTTAATTCTGTGGCATACCATACCTAACGACGGATGAGATAATTCCATCAAAGGCCGCTGAGTTATAAAAAAAAATTAAGTTTTACGTGTATTTTAGATGGAAAATCTTTACAGTCCTTGGTCTAGTACTTAATATTAATATTAAGAGCTCAAACTTTCAGGGAATTTTTTTTTGGTATTTCCAACAAAATTTCACCATGGGAACGAAAAAAAAAATAATTTAAAAAAAATAAGCACCCTAATATATGTATAATTTAATACCAAGAAAAAAACTGGTATTAGAAGTCAATTTTCTTCGCCAGTACGCGAAAAAATATCAAAGAGTTGGCTTAGATTTACTAACATATGCATGTATGATGCCTTTTTGAAATAGAAATCTGTATTACAAAACAACAACAAATTTTATTTTGATATTATTGCTAGAACCAATTTCTTACTGGTTTGTTTTGTGTTACTTTCTTTGTTAATTTTTATTCTACAAATGTTTAGACAGAAATCTAATCAGGCAAAGCCTATCAGCAGGTAGAGGCCGAGCCTAAAAGGTCAAGTTAATGCATTTTGTTTACATGCGAGTATTATTGAAAATCTCTAATTAATGCCCAGAAAAGTCAAAATCAAAACAATAACAGCGATTATAAATTCATACTTCTTATATTTGTGCATGTGTGTCAGTTTCACGGAAAATCCAGTCGGACTTTTGAGCGTCTACAAGCATTTAGAGATGTTTGCGTGTGAATGTGTGTACGTGGGAGATTAAAAGCGGCGATAATTCTCACAATAAATGGCACGTGAAATTGTGAGATTGGTATTTCCTGGACTCGTTTCATGGGACCTGGAATCAGTTGCCTTTAGTAAACTGCTTATAATATCTCATGAGATGCCGTTATCAATTTATATAAGAAAAATAATCTTTAGAAAATCATTTATACATTTCTACATAGTAATTGCATTAATAGCTTTATTAATTAATTTGTATTATTTATTATTGTTGTGAAGAAAGCACTATGACCTTGAGATTAATTTTTCATTATACTATTTAACTGCATTTAAATTAATTTGTTTTGGCTCTAATTCACGGGACACTTAAGCAGCTACCGATAAGAGTCGGATTGTCGGAGTAAAATGCTAACGAAAACAGCTGTGACTCACTCACCAGTCGATTGTAGATAAGCTACCTCTCATGAAAAAGACAAAGTATTTAAACATTCCATTAATTCTAATCAGAATACAATGAAGATATGGTAGATGGAATGGTGACATGTTATACTATTTAGAGTTATAAAGACTTATAAAGATCATAGGGCTTCAAGTAAGGCAAGTAAGGAAGTGCTAAGTTCGGGGGTAACCAAAGATTTCATACTCTGGCAACTTGTCAGGATCAAAGCCGGGGAAATACCTTTAGGTTTATAAGGTTTGTCATTTATATCAGGTCGAGGGCAATCTTTCGCCCGATTTTATCCATTTTAGCCACAAAATTGCACCGTTGTTATGCTTCTAAACATTCTCTTTCAATTTTATTAAGATAACTCATATGTTGGCCGATATATGCGGTATAAAGTTAGCCGGAAGTTCGAAAATCTTTCAATATATTAAGTAGCATATGTATATGTGGGCTAAGGGAATTATTGATTCGATTCAACCCTTTTTTGACATACTGGCATACTACTATCAAAATAGGATTATATTCGAATTTCTATAATATTATATATCACACAGATTGACCGATATTTTTGATAAAAAGTTCGAAATAGGAACTGTGATCCACATATTCGGTATTTGGGGGCTTGAAAAGTTTTTGTACGATTTGGTAAATTTTTTGCACGAAATTGTTGGACAAAGGCACTATTTGTGCAAAGTCCGGCTACAACATTGATTGATAATTGATTTGTATACTGGAAAGTGAAGGAATCAGTTGATTTTGGTCATGATTCACCACTTTTACTACGTAATGTAGGAATGTCAGGATAATATTACCTACCGAATTTGGTTGAAATCGGTCAAGTAGGTCCCGGAATATGGGTTTTCATCTGAATGTGGACGGTACCACGTCCGTTGTTCAAATTGTACACCGACACCTAAAAAGTCCTTTCAACCCATCTTGGATGTAAAATTGTATGTCCCTAGCGCATTCCTTTATAGATTTATCGCGCATTAAGTAGTATTTAACAAAACTATGGGGAGTGGACGGGGTTATAATCCGAATTTAGCCATTTTCACAGAGTGAGCAGGGATGCCAAAAAGATATGCCCAACGAATTTAGTTCTTATAGCTTGAATGGTTTAAGAGAAACATTACATTAAACTTATAAAAGGGCGGTGCCACACCCACTTTTTAAAATATGAAAATTTATTTATTAATTTTTTTCATATGAAAATAGATGCCTCTCCTTAATGCAATTATTTGTACTAAGTAACAGTATTACGGACAGACAAACAGTGACGGGGAATTCAACTCATTTCGTCATACTGATCATTTGTATATACTATATGGCTATATATACTATATCTATCTCGATTAGTTTTAGGTAATACAAACAAACGTTAGGTGAACAAAATTATTATACTCTGTAGCAAAAGGTTGCGAGAGTATAAAAAGAAATGAAAGCATACCATATAATTCAGCACGACTGAAATGAAAGATTATTGTTGGAACAAGGGGAAACTCCTCCTAAAAATCTTTTCGGCAGAAATCTTCCTTCGACTTCAATAGTCAAACGCTCATAATAAAATATTTAATTTTTTATGCTAATTGTATTGAATACAATTTTTCAATAAATGGCAACCTTCTTAAACATATAGTTGAAAATTTTTTTGGCGGTGAGCATTCAAAGCTTCTCATATAAATCACACGCATAAAAATCTCTTTTCAGTAAAAATATCATAACTCTTAAACCATTACGAATAAAGTTTAGAAATTTTTTAAGTCGCTGATTTCACATCGCATAAAATTTCCTAGATAATCTACCTTATACTATAAGCAGACATATGGTATGTTACATATTGTAGTTTGCTACGGAAATCATATGCAAATGATATGTATATACTCTCGCTTCAGAGTATAATAGATTTGTTCACGTCGTCTGTGCAAGCGAGGAGCCATGTCGATCTCGACATGCTTATGATACCTTGTGAAAATTAGTGAAATCGGATTACAACCACGTCTACTTCCCATGTATGAATATGTGAATCCCAGTGCCTATGGTTCACTTTTTACGGAAAATATCGGTCAATCCATGAGATCTAGTATGGGAATTCGGAGAGAATTATTTTATGATAACAGCATGCACTTGTGTCTTGTATCGGTCAATACGTAGGATGTGTTAGTAAGAGAAGTGTCCAGTAAAATAGGATATAATATAGTTTAATTCCAAAAATGTGTGAAATGTACCAACAAATTTCTATAGCTGCGACTACGTTTCATAATTTTTGTTATCCTGACAGACTAGTTAATGCAATCAGACACAAAAACAGCCAATATAACGATTCTTCACTCTTCAACTTTCTTTAAACCCTTTATGTTGGCCAATATATGTAATGTGGTTTTGAGCTGAATATGAATGAAATAGGTTTAGATATACGAGTATACCGATATAGATTGTAGAAAAAGAACTCTGGTAGAAGTACTAACAGGAAAACATGCCAGACTATTGTAGAAGCTGTCAGGATGTAGAAGAGGAAGAGACCATTAAACGTCTTCTATGCGACTGTAAGACTCTTTATAGGTTTTGCGGGTTGGTAGTGCACCCTCTAGCTAAATTCTATGTACATTAATATTTTTATTTTTCATAACATTACATTCTATATGATATTCCGAACAATATTTGTTTTAAATTTTAGTTTAGTCAAAGACTTTTACAAAACGACAGAATTTCATTCATTTATTAACTAATCTTTAATGATATAAGTAAGTTGCAAATCATTAGTTTTATGCGAATACCAGTTCAGAGTTGATGGATTGTTATTGAGCTTTGAGTAAAAACTGGCAAATGTCGGAGTCGAGGCGGCTGGCTGTGTCATAAGAAACCTGCTTGCATTTCTACGAGTTGTCGTTTTTGTGTCGTGCTCTTCCGATCAATTAGAAAATCGCATACTGCGTCTGCTAGTCGCAAGACGAGTCAGACAACTCCCGGTATGCGTTATTTATCCTCCCCCAACCCAATTGACTTTCATTGTTTTTCTCAGCAGGGTGTCCAGAATTTCTATTTGATTTTATATAAAAGCGAAGACATGTGCAATAGATATCATTGCAACCGCAATACTTTCAAAATGAAGTTCACTCCTTTTTGCGGCTTTGTACTGGCTTTGATCGCCCTGGCCTTCGGTGAGTGTTGAAGGGCTGATGATAACGTGAAAGGGCTCTTATATGTGTATCGCAACTCTCAACTGATTTATTTATATTTTTCTTTTTGTGTATTTATAGCCAGTCCAAACCCCATGCCTAATCCCAATCCTGTTGCCAACTGTACCTCTCCGGAACTCGAACATGGCGGCGGTGATGCGATGTAAACTGGCAAGCTACGTGCTCTCGTCGACGACTTAAGCATTTTTAGTTTATGTTTAAATAAAAAAATTGCCTTAATCACACAAAATGTGTTTTTTTTTTTTGTATCTACAAAAATATCAGTTGGAAGGAGTTAGTAGTAATCCTCTGATAAACATGCAATGTATATGATAGATGGTGAAAGTTTTCGTCTCTATCTCACACATGACGGACTCAATTCTGTTTAATCGGTCGAAATTCTTAATGAATTGTTCGCATATAATAGGTCTCTCTCAGAACTCCTCAAAAAAAGACTTACGGCATCAAAATGAGATCCAAAGAGTTTAATTGACATTACTGAGTACGGCGAGGTCAAGATTAGCGCATTTGGCGTGCAGGAAATAGATTGTGTCATGGACTTGTAATGTTGTGCACTGTTCAACAAATGACGTAAAGAATATTGGATGATTTATTGAGACCTTTTCATGTTCTTCCAAGATCCTTACCATCCAAATTACTTTCCTTTTTAATTGATGATTCGCGACTGAGTCAAAAGCACTTGGCTAAAACAGCCATATTCCCTAACGACTCAGTGCAACCGTAGGACTCGTAAGTGTACATATTAACTCTCCAGTTAAAAATCAGGCGAAGACATCTCGAATAGGTCAGCTTCTTATTTTGAGTCTTTCAACCAATATCTTAAGAGAGAAAAACTGCTAAGAGAGACCACCCTGTAAAAAATAACTGTTCAGGTTTACATTATCGGCACATAAATTCGCGTGCGCAAGTGCTAGCCTTCTCTGTTAAATTGTTTGATCGATATTATCGCTGATTTATCCAGTCATCAACGTTGCGGGCACTGTCCAACCGAGATTGATCGAAAAGAAGACTACGACCGTTCCATGCGTTAATTTTTGTGGAGAGCATTTGAAAGAAAATATTTTTAAGTCGTGACGTCATGAGACATGTGGTTTTCGTAAAGAAAAATAACGCATCTCATTTAATGTTATCGCCAAGAATTTAGCTTTATTATAAAGATAAGGGTTTTCCATTATGTTTCAAAAATGATTGGCTGGCTCGAATAAATTTCCAACCGAGGGGTCCAATTTTCGACCACTTTTTGCAGCGATTGGAGCCGTATATCCGCATAACGCGCCGAATATGCTCTTCCAAGGCACCAATCGTCTCGGGCTTATCTGCGTAGATCAGCGGATTCCATTCATAAACTGGATGAGCACAACTCCGATTGTTGCACGCGATACTGGATGGCTAATTTAAGGAAGTTCTAGAAAACAAAATATCAAAAATATATTACATAGTTAATTTTCGAATTTATTCACTTTAAAAAACAAAGAAAAAAATCTTAACTTCGGTTGCAGTGAAAAGTTCCTTAGAAGAACTTGATTCCGAGCCTTCAGTTTGTATGTCAGATATATGCTATAGTCATCAATCAATCAATATGCTATAGTCAATCAATTTCTTCGGAGATTACACTATTGGCTTAGATAATGAGCCATTCCGAATTTCGTGAAGATATCTCGTCAAATGAAAAAGTTTTCCATGCAAGCACTTGACTCCGATTGTTCAGTTTGTATAGCAGCTATGTACTATAGAGGTCTGACATAGGCCGTTGCGACAAATGAGCAGCTTCGTTTTTCAGATCGATATACAGACAGACAGACGGACATATGGACCAGACAAAATCGACTCAGCTCGTCACGAGGATAATTTATATACATACATATATTTTAATAATCCAACGATTACCCTCCTCCCGCTCAACCGACGCGAGGGGCGCAATCCGCATACGTGCGGAATTAGCCGAGTCAGAAAAGGCAAGAGAGTTTTTTAAGTGTTGAGATCTAAAACTGCTCAGCTACAGAAACAAAAATTTCAACAGCTAAGATCTAAAGTTACAATATAATAAATTGTTACATTTTCATTTATTAAGAGAAAACAATAAAGTCTTTTTAATTTTGAAAAGTGAGTCAGATAAGTCAAATGTGCTGGAATGAGAATTAACTATATATGTATATAGGTATATGTACTTTTTAGGGTCTCCGAAGTTTCCTTCTGGATGTTACAAACTTAGTGGAAAACTTAATATACCCTGTCCAGGATATACTAACTGAAATAAATCAACCAAAGATTAGATTTATAAAGCCTATTAATTTATTAATTGATGTATTTTAAATACGAACAGATTAGCATGTACCTTTTGTGAATTGCCTTCGACTATAGGAGTCATTTTGAAAACGAGAATAGTGAACATCATGGGGATACTTTCTTTGCAAGTTTATTGCATCGTACAGTAAATTTATTAGTGCAAGTGTGAGTTAAATTATCTACACGTGCTGATATGCGGTTAGGTGCGATATGCGGTTAGGTGCGAATGCAATGAAGGTTAAACAAACGGGTTTACTGAATTTCTAACGCTGCTTCTGTTTCATTTTAGGAAATGTAATTAAGATATTAGAATTTAGAAAATAAATATTAATTTTTATTTGTTATCTTTTTTTAGTAACTACAAAAACATATAAAGAAACATGTTTCTGTATTCTATATTATATATACTTTAATTGAATCGTCACTTATTGGTCCGTTGATCTCAGTTCAAGATACTGAATAAAATGTTTGTAATAAATAGAATAATTTTTGTGGAGCAAAACCAGTTGTCTTTGAGGAGGAAGAACAGGTATTTGATTTCAATTTTGTCTCATTAGAATATAAGTTTAGACCTTGAGGTGCTTGCGAAATAATAAAATAAGAAGAATTTAGTACAACCCTCTTCTTCAAAGGATAATGATATAATTTACGCTTAAAATATCAGATTTTTGATGTTACTTGCAATAGAAACAAAGATGTCTAAGACGGCGTTAGTTTTTAAAGGGAACGATGGTTATCAGACAACATGAGACAAGCTCCACTTAAAGGGTTAAGTTATCAGACATCATGAGAGAAACGTTATTAACGTTACCAGATAAGTGTAAACCTCCACTTAAGGGTTTAGGCCAATCTTTAAAACTAGCTTTTCTAAGAGGGCCTCGGTGGCCGATATGTGAAACAAAATATAAACGGGATGAATCTTCGTATGACTTGCTAGTAAATTATGAATGTATGCATGTTTTCAGCTTTACATAAATTTTGAAAAGTTATATTTTAAAATATCGGGCAATTTAAATTTCTCACTTCAATAAAAAAAGAGGACGCAATGCAGTCGTCCAAATGTACAATATTTATCAAGGACAAGTACAATACGTTTTTGACAAAGTGCTATTTTGTTCTAAATATTTTCAATATCCATGATAGTTTCATCCAGGTTTAAATAGCTTTCACCTTATTACAGAATTGAAAATGCTGTCAAATCGACAGTCCTTGGCTGAATTAATACTTAGGTTTCTTCTGTCTCTGTAAACCCGACTGATCATTAAATATGGTTCAGTTAACTGAAAAAACTGATGTATAAAACTTTTAATAAGCACCCAAAGCTGGTTTTCTTAACAGCAGCGTGACATTCACAACACTTGAATATATGTATGTTTGCAACGGTATCAGGCGAATTACTTCCCTCAAATTATCTGACTAAATAATAACACCACAAATGATTTGAGTTTTCCAACAATTTTTATTTAATTGTAATTTTGTCTAGGGAAATGAGTGCGTACAGTCACGGCCGAAAATTAGTTTCAGCTTGGAGGTTGTGCAAGTAAGTGTGTGTATGATTCTATTTAGCAGCTACCACCGCCGCCACCGCCACCTCCGCCACCGCCTCCACCACCACCGCCGCCGCCGCCACCTCCTCCACAGAGGCCGCCGCCGCCACCACCGCCACCGCCACCGCCTGGCAAGGGCTCAGGCATGGGATATGGTAGGGCTAGAATTATGCGAAGATAATAATCATTTAGAATTAAAACGATTGTAATACTTTGCAAAGTGATTATTTTCGCTTTAAATCGCTATTATAATCAACCAGCTAATCACGACTTAATCAACTCACCGCTTACGGCAACCAGTAGGCCCAACAAGAAGCTCACGAAAGCAAAGATTCTCATTTCTCGACTGTAGTGTGTTGTCGTATACTTTCAGCTTGCATTCGAATCAGCTATTTATACCGAATTTTTGATAATGTATGGTGTTCTGGAAGATCGCCACCGCTGACGTTTAGCGCTGTCACGCTGCCACCGTACTTTGTACAACCGAATTTGTGCAAACGTTATTGTTGTTATAGCTACAGCTGCTGCGCTTGTATTGCATTGCACTCGCTTACAATTGTTGTTTTTGCCTCACTTTGCCGGCTTCGTTGTGTTATCATCAGGTTTAACCCACTTGAACAAAAAATTAACTGTAAGCGATTCGCATGAAATCAAAACCCGGCGCAAAAATGAGTAAAATAAGAACCAGAGAAAATCAGTTAAATAATATTCTCGTCCAACATATCAAATTCATATTAATTCCACCATAAAACCTGCATACAAGCACGTATTAATAAAATCAAATTAACATCTTTACTATAATCAGCGGGAATTACTCGCACATTACGACATTTCAAACGGTCTAACTATTATACTAGTAATAGTTTCCTTGTAAATACTTATGACAACATTTAAATGAACAACACATCGATCACACCGTTCGCTATATAAGACCCGACTCCAATGCCAACCTTACAACACAGCGAATAGTTGCACCTGCCGCAGAGCCAAACATAACGCTTTAACTGCATAAATAGTAAACCTATTAACCTTGCACCTGGAGACCCACTGTATAGCAGCAACATGAAAGCCTTCTCTTTATTACTAATGGTCCTGCTCGGTTGTCTATTGATTTTCAGCCCGGTTTCGGCTCAGTGGGGTGGACGTGGTGGACGCGGCGGCGACAGCAGCAGCGAGGAAAGTAGGGAACGCGGCGGCAATGGCGGTGGAATCTTTGGAGGACGCCCTGGAAACGGTGGCTCACGTGGTGGCGGTTTCGGAGGACGCGGCTCAAATTACTACTAAAACATAACCAAACCGAAGCCAGAACACTAACAATAACATAATGTAAATACTTTTATTTCATACATTAAACGTTTAATGCAAAAAGATAGACTTGGTATATATTTAATGATTAGATAGAGTATAGTAAGGCTATACACCGTGCGAAAAATACATTAACATTCATCGGACTTATGTATATAAACCTTTCCTACTTCTTTGGTTAACATGTCGATTTTTTATAAATTTATACGCAGTCTTCATCAGATTTTAGGATAGATAGAATGATTAGATTTATGTGAGTATGCCAGATTATTATTATAGATGTTATTGAGATAGCAAGAGACATTATCTTTCCCTTGGGTGTAATGTGGTACAATTTTATGTTTATGAAAGACTTTAAGTAATTCATACAAAATTTGAGCAAAAAACGGTGCAAAAGCAAATGAAATAAGAAGCAGAGGATATCAATAAAATAATATTTTCGTCAAGCACATACTTATAAGTATATATCAAGTTAAAGGTACACTGAGACATTACCATTTCGTTTATTAAGCAAAACCTGAAAATTCGGTTTTGAAAAAGTGAGTTCATAGAATAAAAACAATTTATTAGCTAAAACTACTGGATAGGGTAACGTTTAATTTTGAAATTTTAAAAGAGGCATTTGATTAACGACAAATGATAATAACTGACTTCCCAATATTAGCAAAACTAGTTAGTTATTCCATAATACAGCGTAGTTTTTTGTACATTTAGGCTCAAGTTGCACTATCCATTTGGTATTTACTAAATTTTTTCCGTGCAATTCTGTTTATTAAACATAAACGGGATAAAGACCTCCCTGTTATCATTTCTCCAATATAGGCGGCCGGCACATCAAAGTTCTATGATTGACAATAGCTCTTCATAGAATACCAAATTTTAGTCATAACAGTAAACATTACAGATGATAAACTTTTCACGAGTCCAAAGGATTTTACACACAATTATGTTTTGGATTCTCCATGTTCCGTCTACTCCCTAAACGTGGACGGCGTCTAGGCACGCTGCCTATAATCCACTCATTAACCCACCCTGTTGACGAGGTTTATTTACTATCAATAAACAATTCGAAGGATGGTAGCTGCTATACTCTGTGATGTGAGCCGTTTTTCATTCGACTTCATTTATACTTTCGGAAATACTTACGTTCAATTATTTTTTTATACTTTCAATGCTTACAAGAGCAGAAGCTTAGTATTAATTTATATCTATATACTCGTCGTATGTACTCGCTGAAGCCGATCATTTTTAAGGTCACAATATGGGATATATTGCTCTATAAGTAGGTAGAGTTATCGGCTCGCTAATATCAAAACAAAAGATTTTGTTGATCTAAAAATATGAAAGCCATAAGCTTAAGAATTTGTATTTTAAAAATATGCGAAAAATATATGTATTTGTACAGGGGCAGACCCTAGCATTTATAAATAATCTTCACTTAAAGATTAGCTAAAAATAATTTATAAAAAAATAAGAAATAAAACAAATTGATTTGCATTGAGCGTGTGCCCGTTTTTTTTTATTTTCTACTCACAAATCAGTTTCGATTTCCATGAAAATGATAATCCCGTTTTATATTGTAAGTAACAGCTTAAATAGTGTAATATTATATGCAAGTGTGTATTATTATGTAAGTATTGTACGTATAAGGTACATATCTATATATAAGTTAATGAGGACATTAATAACAACTATATTTATGCAATATTGTACATAAAATATTTTCTAAGCAACTATCTTTTCTTCTAACAACACAAGGTTTATTAAACTAAGTTGGATTTATTGTGAGTTCTATATATTTTATTTACATACTGACGAAGAAAGCAAAACCTTTGTCTATATAATTTGAAATTTCATTAAGTGATCTAAACACTATAGAGCGACGGTTATACTACGTCATAATGAGGACTATTTAAGAATCTCAAAAGAGAGTCAAGTAATGGATGTTTTGTTAACAATGCATAAACATAGAAGAAAAACAATGCATAAACAAAAAAAAAACTTTAACTTCGATTGCATCAAAGCTTTAATATTCCTCACCAATATAAAAGAGTTCTTACAAGAACGGTCTGAACAATTTTTTCGGAGATTGCATCGTTTGAAGAATCTCAAAAATGAAAAAGTTTTCCATACAACCATTGGGTTCCAATCATTCACTATTCGGAACTATTTCATTGGAGATTGCACTGTTGGCTTGGACAATAATTTATGCCAAATTTCGTGAAGATATCTCGTCAAATGAAAAAGTTTTACATACAAGAGCTTGATTCCGATCGTTCAGTTTATATGGCAGCTATATGCTATAGTGGTGGTGGTTCTGACATATGAGCAGCTTGCTGGCAAGAAAGTTATGTGCGCAAGATTTCAGATCGATATTTAAAAAACTGAGGATCTAGCTCGCATATACTTCTGCAGACAGTCTGACATGGCTAAATCGACTTAGCTCATTATTTATATACTTACATATATAGTTAATAGGGTCTCCGGCGTTTCCTTCTGGGTGTTACAAGCTTTGTGGCAAACTTAATATACTCTGTTCAGAGTATAAAAATTTTATTTAATTGGAGTTGTTCAAAAAGCTAATACACTGAAACTATTCCCGAATAAAATCGAACCATTCGTTTGAAAATTGTATCTCTCTCTTTTTCTAGAAGTATTCAAGTTTCTTTACTACTTTCCATGATTACTTATTTATGGTTGTGTCGATAGCTATAAAACAACCATTTGTCAAAAGTGTTTTATCTTATAATGCCCAAATCACCTACTTTGCTTTGTTTTTTTGATTTAAAAATACATATGTATTTCAAAAATTCTAAAGGCAACAAATTAATCTTGCTAAATTCAAAAAATAGTATACTTGTATACTTTATATTTAAATTCTATATCTGTGTATTTATTTATGCCAACATCTTTGTTTTATGCTAGTTGCTTGGACGATTCGCCACTCTTTAAGAATGTTCGGTTTTATTTTCAAACGAATTTTAACAACCATGTAAATTTAATATTGTGTTTTTTTTTTGTTTATATTTTTTACATGGTAATATTATTATTTTGCACTTTCGCGAAATGTTCATATCACTTATAAAACAAAAGGTTTAGCTTTAAGTAATTTACACTTTTGCACAATTCCTGGGTTGGTTAGCGACTGCTAGCAGTTTTCACGATTTTTCTTATGAACATATCCAAATGAAATACTGAAGTTAAATTAAGTGTTAGCAATCAACCACAAAGTAATTATAGTTCGATCGTATCATAGAGTTCGCCAATAGCTTAATTCTATGAAAATGAATATGAAGACTCACTCATTATATTATATTTACATATGTTACTGGAAAACATGAAATATCAGTATTTACATAATTATAATTGAGTGCGCATAAAAAAATATTTTATTATTGATGACCCTAAAATTACTTAGAATAATAAGTAATTTCAGACGTAATGTGTATACAATTTGAAAATTTAGGCCAAGTTGCTATATATAATATTGAGGCCACCTTCCTTTATAGTTATTAATTTTTTATAATATATATATAACTTGTATTTAGATTATATTAGATATATATATATATATATGATTATATTTATCGTTATAAAGTTCGATTTTACTCAACAAGTGTATAACAGACTTTCTTCTAAACAAGAAGTAGGAAGTGAACCTTCTGTAAGTGTTAATAACCGAACACACGCACTTTGAAGTCAATACATTTAAGTATTATTATGTATTATAAAATAATTAATGCAAATTTATTTTATTCACAATGTATGCTAAAATGGATCTCTGGTATAAAACTGCAGAGCTACTAACGTGTAATTCCCGAAAACCGAACATTTTATACTCTCGCAAAGTCAAATGGTATACTCGTTTGAGATTTCTTTGTGGATTGGCTGATATTTTCGGTAGAAGGTCAACTATAGGCACTGGGGTCCACATATTTAGTACTTAGGGGCTTGAACAGTTTTGGTTCGATTTAGACAATTTTTGGCCACAAGGTGGCATACATTAAACGTATTATTCACGCAAAGTTTTACCCCGATATAATCATTGTTGCTTGGTATGCATAGTGGAAAGTGAAAGAATCAGATGGAATTGAAAATGGTGTTATATGGGAAATAAGCGTGGTTGTAGTCCGATTTCGCCCATTTTCGCAATATAACATAGAAATATGAAAATAACGTTATGCACCGAATTTGGTTGAAATCGGTGAAGCAGATCCCAAGATATGGGTTTTCACCTAAAAGTGGGCTGTGCTACGCCCACTGTCTAATTTTGAACGCGGTTCCTATAAAGTCATCTCATACCATCCCAGAAATAAAATTTAATGTCTCTGGCGTGTTTAGTGCTTGATTTATCACGCTTTTAGTAGTTTTTAACAGTACCGTTATATGGGGAGTGGGCGGAGTTGCATTCCCGATTTCAACTATTTTCACACTGTAGGTAGACGTTCTAAAAACATTTGCTTCCAGTGAATTTTGTTATTATAGCATTAGCGGTTTAGGAGATATGCACTTTAAACCTATTAAAGGCGGGACCACGCCCACTTTTAAAAAAATATTTTTTAATTGCAGATGTCACTCCCTAATGTGATCTTGTGTACCAAATAACAGTCTTGTATCTTTTTGCGGAGCTTAGTTATGGCAATTTATTTGTTTTTGATTAATGGCGTTTTGTGGGCGTGGCAGTGGTCCGATTACGCCCATCTGCCATACCAACCGTCTCACGGTACCAAGAAACATGTCTACCAAGTTTCATAAAGATATCTCAATTTTTACTCAAGTTACAGCTTGCACGGACGGACAGACGGACAGACGGACGGACAGACATTCACCCGGATTTCAACTCGTCTCTTCATCCTGATCATTTATATATATATAACCCTATATCTAACTCGATTAGTTTTAGGTGATACAAACAACCGTTAGGTGAACAAAACTATTATACTCTGTAGCAACAGGTTACGAGAGTATAATAAAATCTACTATGGTTTGGTACTAGTGGTTTTGGTCGGCCAGGGGTAAGCTCAGACTGACGATGCTGCACAGATGCTGATAACGGTACATCAAAAGAAGGTTAACTGCATCTGAGAGGCGGTGTTGGAGTTGGCATATATGGAGGAGTCTCTGCATATCGCACGCGATGGCAATAAAGGTTTGATCTGAAGAAGCAATAAATAAGTATGCGGAAGCGTGGAAACCTTTAGAAGTTAAAAAAAAAAAATTCCGTGAAAACTGTGTAAAATATGTATGCTTCTTGAAAACCAGAGTATGTTCGATTCCGAAAAAATTTGTCCCATATTGCTTATAAATATTCTTTGAACATCAAACATTGTGCTATTTATAAAATGAGAGTGATAATACTTAAAATGACATCGGTGTTGCAAATAATTTATTCCATCCATTTATATCAATAAAAAGTTTGACGCTTTTATGGCACTGCTCAACCCGCGATATTTTTAATGTAAAGCGTCACTATTTCGGCAAATTGTTTCAGTATCAAACGGTTCATGGTTAGAATCATACTGTATAGAGGTTTCCCAAACACATCTAACTGACTCAATCGACTAATGAATATCATAGTTATTCAATTGCCATAAACCGACTTTTGTCAGTTCGATGACTGAGATTTAAGGGTGTCACGGTATGTTGACAATATATCATGAAGAGTATTATAAAAATTAATAGTAATTTCCGTTATAAATATTACTTTTATGCTAAATTTCTAAACATGGTTAGGCAAACTTACAATTATATTTTAACAATTCCATACTTTAAGGTCAAGTTTAACAACCTTTCTACTATCGGCCATCAAATATGACTTTGGCATTGGCATTCAAAAAAGCCTAGTACGGACGAATAAATCAAAAAAATTTCTTATTTTGAAGGAATATGTATTTTATCAAAACATAACATTAATATTCTTGTTATGCAGCCAAGATCATATTTGCATCCGACTGATCCATTTAAACTTTGATTCCTACCGATTTTTGGCGATTTTCATATATTAGGTCAATGAACCCGAGGCGTCCTTTCCGGAACGAATTCTTCCGTTTCAAAAACTGAAAAAAGTCACAGGGATCCCAAACTGGCTAATACGGAGGCTGAGCGATGACTCTCGTCATCTTTGACACGCTTTATAGTTACATTACCAATATGGCTAAATCGATTTTTTGCTATCTCTCTGATGCCAATACGACGATTTTCAAACACTGTTTCTTTAACTTTTTCGATGTTATCGTCATTAACAGAGGTGGATGTACCAACTAGTATGAGATACGTTCACGTCACTGCACGACCTCCACTGAATACTTTGTGTTACTCAAATACTTGTTTTCGTGATAAAGTAGTACACTTTGGCAACATTTTTCTCGATTCCGTAGCCGTGAATACATTGGAAAGTCAATATTTGGGTCCGTCCCACTCAAGTTGGATCTTGAGTGTATTCCTTTTTCACGTGGGAAGTTATAAATCAGCAGATCAATGTGTAATATAATATATTCTCGGTGCGTAGTTGTACACAACTTCCTTAATCTTGTAATCGCTTATGTAGTATATGTATGTATATACCATTGGTATATTATTTACCTTCCTCAAACAATGTAAAAAGATATTCACTTATTAAGTATGAATTTCCATTACTTCGGGAGCTAAAGACTAATTATTTGCATTGTACGAATAAATATGTGCAGAAGGAACAATGAAATTAAATAAAAGTATAAATTACCTCAGAAGGTGAGTGTTAACAATTTCTTGTGAACATACATATGTACTTATGTTATGACGTTCTGTTAAATGTAGACCATATATACCTATATGGCATACATATATGTTTACCATTTTGACATTTTGTGTTAAAACCAGATATTATTTTTATTTTTCGATGAAACATTTGATCATTGGAAACTTGAATTAAAAGCCCTATAACCAGATAATGCGATGAACTTATTGTCTCTATTAATTTTTTCAGCTTTTTTATTTAATTTATTATATCTCTTATTGTTTCATTAAACTTTAGTGACAAATCGTTCGCGATTCCTTCTTTAGTTAACTTCAAATTTTTGATAGTCATGATCTTTGATAAAATTCAATTATCACTAAAAAATCGCAAGAAATCAAAACTTAGCATATTCTAATGCCCCACATACTTACTTCAAATCAATTCTAAATTAATAGTATACCTACTTCAACCTACGAATTTTAATATAGATTGTTCGGTTTGGTAAAAAGATGATAACTTTGTGTACATTTATCCGATTTAAGTCAAATATGCGCCGTTTTATTCGTAAACTTGTTGCCAACTTCATTCTACCCCTCTCGTAGAAGGCTGCGTCCCTATTGGCAAAAAAAACTCGGAGAGCCAATTTTCACAGGCCTCCCTTAAGGGTAACTTCTCACCATGAAGCGCGTTCGCCATGTTCAAGAAAAGATGGTAATCACTTGGTGCCAGGCCCGGACTGTAAGGTGGGTGCATTAGGACTTCCCATCCGAGCTCCCGGAGCTTCTGGCGCGTCACCAAAGACGTGTGTGGCCTGGCGTTGTCCTAATGAAACACAATTCGGCCACTGTTGATCAAAGATGGCCTCTTCTGGATGAGAGCTGCCTTCAAGCGGTTCAGTTGTTGGCAGTAGAGGGCCGAATTGTACGTTTGGCCATAGGGGAGTAGCTCGTAGTAGATGATTCCTTGCCAATCCCACCAAACACACAGCCAAACCTTCCTGGCCGTCAATCCGGTCTTGGCCACCGTGTGGGCCGCTTCCCCAAGCTTTGGCCACGACCGTTTGCGCTCGATGCTGTCGTAAGTGACCCATTTTTCATCGCCAGTCACAATCCGCTTCAGAAACGGGTCGATTTTGTTGCGATTCAGCAGCGATTCGCAGATGGAAATTCGGTTCATCATGTTTTTTACGGTAGTTCGTGTGGCACCCAAACATCGAGCTTCTTTGTGAATCCAAGGTTATGCAAATGGTTCCAAACGGTTTTCTGGCTTATCTTTAGTTCCTCAGCAATTAAATAAGTACTCACGTGACGGTCTGTTTCCACTATTTCTATGATTTTATCGCAATTTTCGACGACAGGCCTCCCGACGCGTGGTGCATCTTTAACATCGAAATTACCGGAACGGAACCTAGCAAATCACTTTTGTGCTACACGTTTGTTTACAGTATCGGGCCCATAAACTAAATTAATGTTTTCAGCCGCTTTGG